ACCTTGTTTTCACTTCTAAGTTATCAGATAGCATCTAGTTGAATTACGATACCTGACAGCTGATTCATCAGTTAAATCATTCCCTCTACCGGGGTTTGAACAGCTGGTTATCATTAACCACCCTAACAATAAATGTAGTTCACTGCTACATATGCATATAGTTGTTGGGCGACTTTTGTCCATAAATTTAGTTTCAAAGTAGAAGACATGTAAGGCGAAAATAGATGTTTTTCACCTGTTGAATTTAAAATGCTTCTGCATTACTTTTTCACATTGAGACTTAGCATAAAATGGGCAAACAGGTCCACTTCACATTTTTCTTAAGTGATGTAATTTGTATATTATTTGAATAGAGGTGCCACGCCTGTAAACTGACATTCCTCTTGTACCAAAATATAGGGAATAAGTGTTAATGGCATTATTATAGCCCATTCGCTGTAGCCATTGATAGTTGCAGTTTTCTAAGTTATTTGAGATATTACTTTGGACACAGTGAAGAGATCTATCGGTTTTTCTTCATAGTTTTATCCGACTCAATTACTTTTCCAGGCAAGTGTTGGTCGAGGGGATTTAGCCCTAGAGAATGATGCCCGTTATTATTCTCTTAGTAAAAATGATGAAGATTTGTGAGTTATAGTGGGGATGGAAGTTTCATGTTTTTGCCTCGATATATGAAGCATATAGGCGTAAGTTAGAACCTTCTATAAGTTTTCTGGTGTTCTCATGACTTCGGTATTTAATCGCAGAAGATTCACAATTAGGCCTGGTATTGTCTTCAGCACTAAATTCATTAGACAGTGAGGCACGTGTTCTTACCTTGTTCGAAATTTCTACAGCTGCAATTGGGGGTAGCTTTTTGTAAGTTTACTTAAACCTGAGTTCTTATCCGTTGCTTGTAAGTTAATTCTTTGTTGAAATGTAGTTCAGTAGTGTAAATGTCACCATGCCTTGTTACTTATCCACTCGGAGGAATTTTAGTTGGTTGAGGGGATAATGGCTCTTTCTAATCAATCTGTGAATTTGGTCTATTGACTGGTTTCCGCTACGTTCGACTTTGTAGGCCATGAAATAATAATATTCTCTTGTTTCAAGTACTGATTGTCATTGTCTACGTGGATGAATCGTCGTATCTTCTTGCTGCGACCTGATAATCCTTCATCCTGAAGGCAACTCTTAGGATAAACTGGTCAGCGAAGTCCCTGTATATGTTTTGGTATGGCTTGGGGTGAGTAGAATGCAGTCTTCCCTACAAAATGGTTTCAAGAGGCCACGTTTCCATAGGTTCTTCCGGGTAAGCTGCCTTTGCCCGCGGTGAATGTTCGGCAATCATTACCATCTAGTGGGCATGAACGGTTCATCCGGAGTCAGAAAATCCCGATGACGTATCTATGCTGCACATAGGCTCCATGTATCGAAAGGAACAAATGGCGGATTAACCTGTGTTGGTCACCTAATAACATAGGAACGCATCTCCCGACTTAACTGTGGTACCTTGTGGATGAAATGCTTGAGTTGTGTTCCCTTATGACAGTCGTCTCCCCTTGGTCGATGTCCGCTCACAGTATCTTAGTTGTTACACAAAACATACAATGACAGATTTATGGAAAACCGGAGACTCTCTCGTATGGTACTTCGGCAGTCAACCATTCCGTTATTTGATCTATTATCTTGTCATTTATGTAACTTCAGTTTTTCCATTTTGACGTTTTATAGTGACTATTTTTACCAATCGTTCGTTATTTAAAAGAAGATTAAGTCTATCCTAATTGACTACTTTCAGGAAGCTAGCCTCCACTGAGATGTTCAACATGACAGTCTTCACACCATCTGCGGCTTTCACCTGCAGTGTTCGCGCACTGATGTAAGTTGGACAGTAGACAGGTCTGACCAGAACCCTGGAAAGCCCTGCTACTGACGTATGCTGCCTCAGATATCTGCATGCGAAATCCCAGTGAAGTGTTTCAATTAGCTACTCCTTCTGTAAGCCCGTTTAGTGTGGTTCATGTACAGTGATCCGGGTAATCTGTGGCATCCAGCTTAACTAGTGTCAATGCCACATTAAGTTCTAGAGCTGAAGCTCATTTACTGAACTGGATTCCCATTAACAATCGTTTAGATGCTATGAGACCAGACGGTTATATTAAAGTAAGAAGCAACTAGTCAGAGAAGTATTGTCTTTTTATAATCTCTGCCTATGTACTGATGGCTTTCAGTTCGTATACAATTACCGATAAGTTCTACTAACAACTGAATGAGCCTCTTATGCACGCGTGTCCTACATACGTCGCAGTGCTATCTGAAGACTTAGATGCAGAGGTCCGGCATCTAAGCTGAGATAAAAGTGGTCTAGGTGGTCATTAAGGAATAAATGGTTGCAGGTCACATAACGGGAACCGTCTTCTGCTGCTTTGCATAGATCAAAACTTATCTCTAACCAGAAACAGCTCGCAGCCTAAACAATATCGTCCCCCCTTTGCACTGAAGCATGAACTAAAATAGATTATACTGTTACTGGTTACATGGAAATGCTGCTTCTTCTGGAATACTTGTCTGGATTCCGATCATGCTTTATTGTTTTGCAATCAATAGTCATATAAGTTGTCCTAAACAGGTTGATATAGATAGACCTGATGCCTAGTATCAGACCCGACTACACTCACAGCTTACTCCCAGTTCCTTATAAAGACCTTGCTGAAACTATTGTCAGGCAACTGGTTGAACTGTGTAAGAAAATGTGGAAAATGAGTGTCCTATAAGTATGACATGGAGTCATTACCGTGCCTACCTTTTAAGGAGGTTCACATAATGCAATCACTGGGATATTAGTTTGTAACCAACTGAGACTGAAATAATGGCTGCTACTATGTTCTACAGGCCGTGTAAAAAATGAAAATCCGGCTCACTTGGGACAGACTGGGTTTCACTCAAGTTGTGGGTGCATCGGTCATGTGTTCATCCTTCGTCTACATAGGTATTGCAGATCAACAATCATTGGTATAAGAATAAAACTTGTGCACTTTGGTAGAGTGTAATTCCATTATGGGTAAATTTTGTTTTGATAAAGTCTGACAGTATTATACAGTAATGTTTACTGATGACGTTTCGAGCACAATTTATTGCTCATAATCATATCAAGGTAATCACACGACTTCCTAAATTCATTTACATAGTTCCGTTGTTTTTCACTTGATTTGATTGGTAGTAGTATTTTCCATATTTCGGGTATGAGTGATGAATCATTCCTATTGCATGTGTTGGGTTTAGATTCGATGAACAAGGATTCAGTAAGCTCAGCAATTGCAATGCATGCACTAACACAACCACACAATAGGGTGGGAGAGGGTGAAAATTCTAAAAAGGAATCTTGGTAGGTGGAGAAAGAGGTTGATTACTGAATCCTTGTTCATCGAATCTACACCCAACACATGCAATAGGAATGATTCATCACTCATACCCGAAATATGGAAAATACTACTACCAATCAAATCAAGTGAAAAACAACGGAACTATGTAAATGAATTTAGGAAGTCGAGTGATTACCTTGATATGATTATGAGCAATAAATTGTGCTCGAAACGTCATCAGTAAACATTACTGTATAATACTGTGAGACTTTATCAAAACAAAATTTATCCATAATGAAACAACAATCTTTGGATTTCTTCATATTAGGACTGATTGAGACGATTGCCGTTTGGTAATGTATGTTGGAGAAGGGTGTTCGCGAGAAGTTTATCGAAATTCTCAACCCCCTATCTTAAACACCTCAGGTAGAATGAGGGCGGACTGTCCCCTATGTGATCACTGTTCTCCATCTGCGGTGGACCTAGATATTTCTCTTTATCTGGTCGATAGGTAAAATTATAATGATAACTTCGAAGGGTTTGCATGGTGGCAGTGTAAATCTGCTACTGGGAGAAGGACCCTTCGCCCTTTGAGTATGAAGACGTTATCATATTGTGCAATACTAGATAAGGTAGTCAAATAACATTTAGCTGACGATCACTGTCTGTAGGTATGATATGTACTTGGTACCGTCCAGGTGCAAAGTAATGTTTTGAGATTGACAGAAGCCTACACTCAGTCCTTCAGGTGAACTGTTAAAATTAGTCGACAAATTTACGCACCTAGGTAGTGGTACTATGCTAACGGAGGTGTGATATTATAGTGGAAGTTAGGACGTCACAAATCAACCTGCGTCACCTTTGACGCTACCATTATGTCAGTTTACATTTACAACACTTAAGTGCAAACAATATTTCCTTGTATCCGTGTAATCTGGACTCATCGAGTTTTGACTAGTGTGGCGACACTACGTGTTCGATGACCTTTGGACAAGTGGGATTCTTAGAGTCTGGTGGTCCTACTGTGTAAGTAATTCCAAGTTTCAATAGCGTGCATTTGGAAGTGGTGGAGATCGCCTTCCCATAAGTGAAGTTATTCTGAGACATTAGCATCGGTGGCTTGGACTTATGCCAAAAAAATCATCCTAGTGGCTTATATAGTGTAAACTATTCTACACCTCAGTCAGATATCCTGTTCACTCATTAGATGGAAAATGAAGAGTATAGTAATATGCTCTATTGCACTTTGTAATTGTGAGGTGTTTACAAAGGAGAAAATGTGGTGCATTAATGTTGGAATTAGGTGTGGTGTTATAGCTGTAAAAAGAATATGTTTTGCACTTCGAAAGTGGACAAGTCAAGACCTCCAAACATACAATTAACCTATTGTGATATATGGTGTAAACTTTGTAGGAAGGTGTAGTCACTCTACCTGGCATCCTGTCGGTGTTGAAAAGCAGTGGTCAGAAGTTAGTTGTGATACACTTCAAATTACATAACTTAGAGCATCCAGCATTGTTCTTCGCAGTTATTTTCTTGTCCAACATATTTGTATTAGGTGTTTGTCACTAGTGTTTCATTTTCTATTTCGAAATTTATCAATTTGGACTATTGTAATTCTAAAAACAGCAAGATTAGCTCATTAATAGAATGGATGCTCAAATAGGGTATATCTGACTGGTCCTTTTTGATAGCATACATACTGTTAATGAGATTCACGCTGACTTTCAATACCCAGATAGGTACATAGATTTTTATTACAACAAGAAAAACAGAGAACGATGTGATATGTATGGTTATTGTAATGCATTTTTAATCAAATTCAACTCTCCTCCAATAAACAAAGTAAATATTACAAAATATAGAGAATAAAAGAAGAATTATTAAGTTCCAGAGCAACTACAGAGAGTGAGAAAGTACAAACTTCTGTCTTGATTGGTTGGTTAACTAGGCAACAGCTATTGTATGTAAAGGATGTGACCAATAGACGCAGAGTAAGCAATACACACCAATAGTAGCCACAACAACAAAAATGAGTATTTGCCAGTGTAATAGTAGGTAGGTGCTGTACACGAACGCAATCCCCGAGACAATAGACTAGAAAATAATAATAAAGGAGAAAAGTGAAATTAAGTTGTAGGCGAAAAAGTGAGTCTAAGAAATAAACTGCTTATGAAGATTTATAACATGTGAAAATCACAAACGATGACACTATGCAAGAAACCAGTATTTTTTATTAAGTTGCAATGTAGTATGGATTCATCTAGTGAAATTTTGACCTAAAAAACGATCAAGAACTTCATAAGGAGGATATTTTTGAAGCAATAAAGCCGTGTCAGTAGTCATCTGGTCGGTGAGTGATTTTCACTCAAACTAAGGACAAACCAACTAGTTTCACCCCCATTAAAGTGTATTTATCAGTTCGATTGATCCTGTAGAGACAGTTATGTTGGACGTACTATTCGCTACAGGTCGCGGTCGGATAGAAGAGAGATAAGAGCTATTCGAAGCTATATTTTGTTCTACTTGGTTAATAGTGCCCACTTTCAGTGAACAAAAAGAATGCATTCAATGTGGTCTTCGTATTCATCTACCGCATATAACTGAGTCGATTGGCATATAAACTATCAAACGAAAACTATCTAGGTAAATATTCGTAAAACCATTATCTCACCTTCGACCAGTGAAGACCGAACCAATCCATAGCACCCCTTCATATACTTTTAATCCGTTTCTTACCACAATTGTGTTCGAGACGTTCTCTTCAGTAGACAATACTGTTCCACATTATTTGATATATCAATAAAAATATTAGTATGGAATTAAATCGTTAGTCTTATTCCATCTACGCTGAAATTGGCTCACCTGCCTCCCTTACAAACACATAGTGCGAAATTCTACTGTTTATTTTCCAAGCCTTTGACTCACAACTTTTTACTTCATTTATATACATGAGTGAAATTGATTAGACATTCGAATAAAAAAACAATATAAGACAATGCACATTCAGAAATAATATTAGTGTTATCAATCAAATACAATCAGATGGGAAATAAGATGCTTTTATAGTCAAAATAAGTAACTTGTTAGAATGTACGTGGAGTGAAATAGAATTTTAAGATTATTTATTATCCTCCTCTGATTTGACTGGTAATAATATCTCCCATATCTCTGGTGTCTAATCATTTCTGTTGCATGTAGACTCGATGAAGCAGAAGTTAGTTACCTTTTAACCGCTTCTGAGGCCATATTGATTGGTATGTTAGTGTACAGACTAGTTATATCAAAACTGACCATTTTTTCATTATTCTCTAATTGAATGTTATTTAGTTTCCTTTTCATCTCATATGGATTAGTTAGCCTAGAGTTTGAATGATTTCTGATGGGACATAGTATTAGAGCTAAGTGTTTTGATAATTCATACGTCGGCGTATTTCTGAAATCTACTATTGGTCTTATAGGGTAACCTGGTTTATGTGTTTTTCAGTACCATATATTCGACTAGCGTTATTAGCTTACCATTAAACCATTTAGACTTACCCAGTGACAGCTTCATAGTATGTATTAAATCCGCTGTAGATTTCTTAATCTTATTCATTATTGTATCTACAGGCTTCTTAATTTTCTCATATGAACCCGTTTCAGTGTGTTCAGTGACTTTCTTTATATAATCAGATTTGTCTATAACTATTGTAGAGTTTCCTTTTTCAGCTTTTGTGATAACAATGTTTTTATCCTGTTTTAGACCAATTAGAGCTAGTTTTTCCTATTTTTTAAGTTTGACTGCGCTTTATTTTGTTTCTTAAGAGTTAATATACATTGAGTTCGAACTTCCTCTGCTGTCGTCTTATCTACTGATAGTAGATTTCAGAAATACGCCGACGTATGAATTATCAAAACACTTAGCTCTAATACTATGTCCCATTAGAAATCATTCAAACTCTAGGCTAACTAATCCATATGAGATGAAAAGGAAACTAAATAACATTCAATTAGAGAATAATGAAAAAATGGTCAGTTTTGATATAACTAGTCTGTACACTAACATACCAATCAATATGGCCTCAGAAGCGGTTAAAAGGTAACTAACTTCTGCTTCATCGAGTCTACATGCAACAGAAATGATTAGACACCAGAGATATGGGAGATATTATTACCAGTCAAATCAGAGGAGGATAATAAATAATCTTAAAATTCTATTTCACTCCACGTACATTCTAACAAGTTACTTATTTTGACTATAAAAGCATCTTATTTCCCATCTGATTGTATTTGATTGATAACACTAATATTATTTCTGAATGTGCATTGTCTTATATTGTTTTTTTATTCGAATGTCTAATCAATTTCACTCATGTATATAAATGAAAAGGTGTGAGTGACTTCATATGATTATGAGCAATAGTTTGTGCTTGAAACGTATTTAGTTAATATTGATGTATAACACTGTGTGATTCATGAAAAGAAATTCGTATCTATAATGGAGTTATACTCTACCACAGTGCCAAGTTTTAAACTTCTATACCGTAAACTCCGCCTTGAAAATAATTTGTATTCATCATAACAAAAGCTGTCTAGTCATACAATCAAGTTCAGTTTGAATGTGTTAGTCTTAATCCTAACTAATATCAATCCTTTACACACAAGCACATCGTCACCCAATAACCCCTAGTGCCAATTTATTTTGTTTTCCCCCCTATATTTATATTTGAATGAAACTATCTTAAACACGTGGTGTCACTAAACAAAGACAGCTAATTATCTTTCACCCCTTCATATGAGAATCTTTATTCATTATAATACATACAAGTGTACGTATAAAACTTGTTCAAACAGTGCAAGTTTTCGGAATTCACGGAAAAAGCATTCTGCTCAGTCATTAAATTGGCAATGAATTTAACCTGCATCAATGTTTTATTTGCCAAAATATGTTTCTCGTTACTACTATATAACATCGCATCTGCGTCTCCAGTCCGACTTCCAACAGTTCGATTACGAGTTGGAATCCTGCTTCTCCACCTGACGAAGTTTGGGCCACCAGGTAACATCACTAGGCCCCACACAATAAATGTGGCACGTTACTAACCAGTTGTTGAGTAACAGTTTCTTCGAATCATCTCTCCCTCCTCCCATCTTCACCTCAACATTACCATTTCCAACTGTTAAGCAGCACTGAATTCTTTAAATTTTATTGAGTCATCCAAAGTTAGATTAATTAATCATGAGTCAGTTTACGCCTATCTTTCATATACCACCATTTTCTGTTCATAAATTTAATTACTGCAAATAAAGACTTAAATCTATTAGTTTAGTCGATTTTCAACTCCAGCTGCATTTATCAATAGATATTCACACATAAAGCACAAAGTGGAAAGTGTCTACTAGATTTTCTGAGCATATCCCTTACAGTCGTCGTATGATAGGTAAGAAAGTGTTTGCAAATGGAATGTCACAGCATTTGGTTGACACAAGACATACAGTCGAAATCGATCAAGCCTCCAAAGTAATCAATATGCACAGGCAACATCCCGTTTTGCAGAGGCCACCGCTATGAAATGATTTCAACTTAACTTCTGGATACAGAGAAAGACAGATAGAATGAACCTTGCACTACGCTGGTAACTAGATCTCTTACTTGTTGCGTCACAATCTTTAGCTGATTGTTTGTTGAGCTGATCTCATTATTAATCTTCCAGTTTACTTATTTGTTTGTTGATGTAATGAGTTTACTTTTATTTACCATTTCCATTTACACCCCCCCTTCCCCCCCCTGACATTCCATCGTATCCTGTACTAGCGACCTCCGGTTGTTGAATAAATAACCACATTGTATTCATACTTCTTGTTCCACTACTTGTCTAAGAATTATTAGTTGGCTTTGGAGTTGAAATATTTGTGAAGTATGCTACACATTTACGTCTATTCATTATAACTAATATCATTTTTGAGCAATTAACTATGGGAAAAAAGCTGTGGGATAGAAAATGACCCTTTTTATCCTGGGAATATATTTATTCCTGCTTTGTTCAAGCTAATCAAGAGAAGTGGGTGTTTGAGATCTTCATAAAGTCTGGATAGAGATCAGTGACGTTTAAGAAGACAACAAGAAATTAGAAACCACAGGGATCACTTATTTCACATAGCGCATTCCCATAAACAATGGTGATACCCCAATTTGAAAAGTACCAATTTTACATGCAACTTTGCGCTAGTAAGTCACTTAGTAGATGTAATCTGAAGAAAGTTACGTGGTGTGGATTGTCAATTCTGTTGCGCTAAAGACTTAATTTTTAAATATAAGTAAACTAGTGAGGTGGTCACACGCTCATATATTTCTAATAAGACATTAAAACATGGTGCAGATATTCTTCAATGCTCATATGCTGCCTCTTGCTTACGCAGGAAGAAGACTTACCAACAGACTGGCTTCCCTAAAGCTGTCACCAACAAGTGTCATATGCCCTCGTGACTAAGTGTCCTGCTGATTCTAGGGAAGGAAAAATTCGTTTCGTCTGCAATCTGAAGTTTCTGAAGCCATTAGGGTGTTTTTTAACGAATTTGGTTGCTTACACCACACCCACTGTGAGTCGGTGGCACAAAGGTAGAATGCTCGCCAATCACGCATGTGGTCTGAGGTTTGACCCCCGGCCGACGCACTCCTTTACCTCGGTAAGCCAGTAATAAGACTGGTGAAGAGGGAAGGTTGGGCATGAGGCTAGTAACCCCATCTCGTAAAAATAAACACCACTGCTACCGAAACTTCAAGCCTCTACTTTGAAGCTCTATGTTCCATTGGGAACGCTAAGGAATAAAAAACCCAAACCCACCCTTCCTTTCTTTTCCTGGATTTAAGACCGGTTAGTACACAAGCAAAGTTTGAGACACAACTGTTTTTGGTTCTACTATGCATATATATCGGTATACCTGAAACGTTTGTGCCAAAGTATTAGGTTACTAGTGGATTAATTCTGTATGATTTTCATTGTATTACTCAGATAGGAACAGTAAACAATATGGTTAAAAGTCATTAATGTTACCGTTCAAGAGGAATAAGCAGCGCTAAAGGTTATAGCTCGCAACGATATCAGCTGTGCTTTTTCTGTTAAGGATAGCACTGAAGCTGATGAATCTCAAAACAGTAATCACCAGCAATGCGTTAAAGTTCCGAAAAGGTAACGCCTCAGCCCTGCAAATCGTCCTCTCTCTGATAAAAACGGTAACATTCAAGGTAGCAAGGAGTGTTATTTACAAAACTTAAAATGAGATATATCAGTGGGAACACTATCTTTCATTTGAGATATGAGTACATACAGCTGACAAGTCCCAAAGAGGACTAGGCGGGCATCCTGGATTCCATTTCTAGCCACCATCAACGAAATGACATCAAATTACCAGCTTCTTCATTAATTTCAGGTTTATTTCGAACTAAGTTACACAGTCTGTTCAATGTTACTGATGAAGTCGGACAACCGCACCCAGACTCACCTGAATAGATTTGAATAAAGCAAAGCAAACTGTAACGTCGGTTCCGTGTTTCCCATAAATATATCCAATCAAAGCAGATATTTGTGTATTCCATACAGAATCGACACTTCCAAACAGGAAGGCTAAGAACATAGCTAAATAGACACTGGAAAATGGTAAAAGATAGCAACGAAAACATGCTATTTAGCCATAAACATATAATAAAGGGATTAAAAAAAGATGAAATGACATATAACTTGAAGCGATGGGAATTGGTTGTATGTTGCGTGGTTTTTTCATTTCATGATGTGCACGTCACGAACATCATCAGATAAACTCCATTTTGAGATAGCTAACAGACAAACAGGCAGGCAGTTTTCATAACAAACCGACATTTATAGACGGAACATTGTAAACCAGAAGGCAATCGACGAATGTTTCGTCTAACTTCGGGGCTCCTCACCAGCTCACCCAAGACCACAACACAGATCAAGGCAAGTGAATTAACACATAGCCATTGGGTCAGGAATTGTTGACTCATGGCTTTAAACTCCTATCAATTCGTTATATGGAGCCAATATCTATCCTCACACAGTCACCTCAGTGGAGAACTTCAACGGTCACAACTTCATAGTATAACACTTACCAAAGAGAGTCATATGAGGAGAGCCAGTCAAAAAACAGGATAAACACAACTGTCTTGCATGACCATCTAGACACCAACTGAATTGACTTAACAGTTGAATCACCATAAAAAGCTTTGTGTATCTCAATGAATGAAAAACGAGACAACAGTCTTTTACTGACATTTTCCTAATTGAAATGCTGCTAATAACACTAAATCAGAATTTATAAAACCATAGCTCACATAGAGTAACTCAATCATATTCCTTATGTATAAGGTAACTCCGTGTGATCAGGTGAATGAATTACCACAAATAAGAAACATGTGTAGATTGTTGGATGTGGTGTGTGTATGAATTATAAAAACATGTGTTTGTGTAATGAAAAGTGCGTATCATATTAGGGTTGACTATATCAGCTCCTGGAGGTGGGTGAATGAGTGCGTCTTGGATCCAGGCTATTAGCACTAAAAATTGAAACGTCAGTAAAGTCATCGTTTTGTTTATAAGAAAGAATATAATACACCTAAGGCCCATATTTTTTCAAACTAGCTGGATTATGTTTAACATAAACTCAGAATCCTGAAAGCAGCTCCGTGAAAACACAATACTGTCAGCTGAATAATGTAGCTAGTAATTTTTAATGGTCACCGAGGTCTTGGGTCCCATCCGTGGTGATGTCATGGATGTGCATTGCTGAAGGGTCCAAAAAAGGACAAAACAGTTTAGTATCCCCTGGTTTTCGATGATTCTCTGACTGAAATCAGTTCATAATCAATCTTGGACAGTTTTTGTTTTTTTCACCTCCATGTCTGACAGATTACAGCATCCTGTGATCCTATCGTCATTTAAATTTTCATAAATCGCAAATCATGTAATTGGGCTTTATACTTCAATTATGGCGTTTGCATAGTCAACTGAGAATCTTAGCGAACACTAATTTTGGTTCCGAAAATCTTCTATAATGTGAAGATGTGGATTATCGACTTTCAGACAATTAGTCCCGAGTTGGAGTCCTTCCATGACTATTTCAACTTCAACAATTTGTTGGTGGTATTATAAACGCTTACAGTCACATGTATGGTTATTAGCAACCTAGTACATAACAAAACATTTCGGGGCAACAAGAGTTGTTACAACATCTTGGTGGAACTCATTATATCAGCGGGAATCAGCGTACATACAGAAATTATAAAATATCAATGACACATAAAGCTGTCCAAAGCATAGTACTCAGGTGAATCTACAAATAATAATAGATAAACTGATACAGATCAAATTTATCAAGCAATGAAAAACTCACATGGACAAAAGGTCAACAAAATAATCAATACCAAAATAAAAGTGAAGAAGATAAGAAAAGAAATCTTCAGAGACAACCAATCATGTTTACGGTCATCATGAGAGACAGTTATTACACTCATGGAGAATTCTAAAAACTCATATCATATTGAAGTTATTGATGAAAAAAATTGTCTAGAAATACAGAATTATTCACAATCAAATCAATCTGCACGAAGAATATAACTACATCAGTGCCATCCATCTGAGCTTTATAAATCTTCATCTTCTCTACATGTTCTCTCTGTGTCCAGTAGTCAACAACTTGACTATTGGATACTAATCTTCTTCAAAGTCTTAGGAAAAAGAAGCAACTAATAAGCACTGAAGACAAATATAAACAGAATGATCTGTAATATTGACAGTTTTTGAAAGCTATATTTTAAGTCAACATTTTAAAGTTAAGTAGTCATCCAATGATAAGATATTTTTGAAAAAGTCACATGGAATTTGAATGATGTCACATTCCACTGTGTTTACCAATTTACATCTATGTGTGATTAAAAGTACATAAGAAGAGCCCATTGATCTCTACAGGTAAAGGGTTATAGAACTCATTACTGAATGACAAAAAAAAACAGATAAAATCAGCCAACTCAGTTAAACCTGAAAATGGATGCTGACTAACTCAGTTTCAACGTAAAACTTTGCATAGAAGTGCACCATATCAAGAGAGAGATTCAGAAGCACTGTAATAAGCAGAAATTTGCGGGAGAAAAAATAGCGACATGGAAAACATGAGGGTTTAATGGATATGGGAGATAAAAAAAGTGTGAATGCAACTGCGCAACTGTGAACGATTTTAAGACATACCCTACCAGCATGGTAGGAGCTGGTTGCTAGCCAAAATCTTGTTTTAATTTTTTCTTAAACATGCTGGGATTAATTTAAATAGCTTATAATGAATCAAGCTGACTCCACGCTCAAATCATTCCATGAAGTTCGCAACATCCACGGTCTGGAAACTTATACTACATTACGTGCTTAAGATAAACTATCTCCTCATATTGTTTTGTCAAAATCCATGAGGGGAACTAACTGATTCAAACATTTCTTCTCACCCCCACCCCCAAATCACGAAAATAAAATTAATGATTGAAGTTGTGATTTAATCGAGAAAAAAACCAGAAACAACTCCATATATCATGCTTACTTTGGTGTTATATAAGTAGCATCATCAGTATCCATCATAGGACTATTAGCTGGTAGCATCATATAGGTGAAATAACCAGCGATAACTGCAGTAGCATAACCAAAGGCGACTAAAATCCCTTCTAAACGAATCCATCGGTTTAACCGAGAAGAAAAACTGCCTACACAACGATAAATTAATAAATGTTAAAGTGAAATCACTGAATATATGTATATATATATATATACATATATATATATATACCAATTCGTGATTTAGCACAACCCCAACCATTGTCGTTGGTGGGACATCCATCCACACACGTGACATATAATTGGGCCTCACTGGTCACAACTCCAGGAAACTCAATCCTGTAGCAAGTCACTAGCGAGCATCAGATTAATTTTCATGAGCCATTGAATCGGGTCCCAGTGGCTGAATGGTGTACGAGCTTGTCTTGTAACCTGGGTTCGAATCCCAGTAGGTGCGTACTGCCGATGATTCCCAAACTAGGATGAAACAGCAGCTGTCCAGTACTCCCTAGTTTTCAATGGTTCTCTAACTGATATCAGTCCGTGATCAACTCGTAAATATATATGTATATATACATGAAACTATACAGAAATGCAATTCACTGGGGGAGGGTACACAGTTATGGCTCGTATCAGTTTGAGAAATTGACATTCAGCTAATAGATCTCACATTGGAGCCTGATCTAGTTTACTTCCTGACAATCATCGAACGTTGTGAACCCCAAGATACATATACCAGGCATCAATTAACTCAGTAATTGGGTCGTAATACACATACACATATCTAGCTTGTAATCTGCAATTAATGTATAAAAGGTTATTCAATCTATAATTGGATTGATTCAGTACTGTAAACAACAAGCTTTTGTAATACTGAGTTATAGTTATGATATACAATATGAGTCAGGCTTCATTATAGCACTAACACGATTGTCACTGCTTTTAATAAATAGCTCTTATGAACTCGATTAAACAAGTGTCAAGTTTAGGTCCAGAAGGCATTACTTATTACTTTTATTATAACAACAGCTACGAAGGATAAGCAAAAAGGAACTCCAACAGTGAACCAACTAGCCAAGTACTTATTGCCCCCAAAAATATACACAAGGAAATGGAGATGGAGTGGGAGAACGCTAGAGAAGCTTTCAAGTAACATTACACATCAGACCGTCGAGTGGAGCCTGAACAGGGAGCAATGGAGAGGGATGTTGGAGTATGACACGAAATCTTGTGGAAAGTTGTAAGGTCTGTGATGTTCCTTCTGTATACAGCAGTACTATAGAGGCTTCGAATTCGATATTTATGTTCTTTTTACCATTTTCACTAATTTTATTTTTTCCATGGGTCTTGATTCGTTTCCAAGTGAATTCTGGTAGGTAGTTATTTATTTACCAGTAATATTTTCTTCAGTAATGCTGTATAAAAAAGGGATATCACAGGCCTTACATAGGATTCTCAATGAGGCTGGAATTAGGGTAGCATTTAAACCAACCATGTCTCTCAGAGATAAACTTTGTCGGCTTAACGACCAAATAGATCCGATTAAGACAATATAATTTACTAAATACCACGTAATGACTGTGAGGTTAATCACACAGGTCACACTAGTAATCAAGGTCAGTTAGATAATCGGGACATAAAAATTTGGCCAGAACTAAAACAGAGAGAGAGGTTATTCACTGAGTCTCTGTTCATCCAATCGACAACAAACACAAGCAACCGAAATTATGCAACGCCTATACTGGAGATACGAAAGTAGCAACAAATAACAGGGGAAGAGGAACAGAAATAATTACTGAGCATATTATGAAGCCGTGTGACTAAATTCATGATTATGAGCAATAAATTCTGCTCAGAATGTCATCCAGTTATTAATACTGCAATACTGAGTGTTGAATCAAATAAACTTATCAAATACGAAAAAAATTGTAGTTTAGGAAGACGTCTCACCAGGTTTCTTTGGGTTGTTTGCAACTGCTAGATAACCATCGGGAGATTGAGAGTACAGTATTTCCACTTACAACCTTTACATGTCGAATCAAACACAGCTCACTTTAGAACTGTGAGTACTAATCATCACGCTGTGCATATGTTATGGAAGTAGTAGCTGCAATTGGTTACACTCACTGCAGATACTTGCAGAAAAAAGTCTGGTGTCGGTGAAATGGTCTGCTGATTAACAGCCTTCAAAAACGCCTAGACAGCCATGTAAAATATCTTAAAAACAGCCCAAATAAATAACAGTGTCAGTGTCTTTTACAACAGTTCATTGAGAGGATATTGAGAATACAATATGATGTAATATATAACATTAATATCATGATATCGCCTCCAGTTTAAACAAAGGTGTTGAATTTATTAGTTGTCTTCATTGAGTATATATCTATCTTTCATTCTGTAACCAAGTGTCTTCTGTTAAACAAGCTAATTGTGACACAAACAGGGTGCTGGATTAATAGGCGGTTGCATTCTTATCTTCCTGATAGGAAGAAGTACATTGTACACAAAGTTGTATGCCCAACTGAGCTGATGAAAACCCTATGAAATCAAATGAATTCAATCAACTAAATATAATTTGAAAATAATAAATAGCTTGATTAATTAACGTACCGACAATTTCTCCAATCCCAATGAATAAACCGGCTAATCCGATATAAGATTTGGCATTCTTACCAAAATGTAAACAATGCCCCAATGCTGAAGCATAAAGACTTGAATAAAATGTTAGATTAATGCCTATAAAACAAAAGAAAACGCGAATTTTTTTCCACAGTAAACATTACTAAGAGGAGTGTAGGGATGCATACGCAACGTGTGCTACTGAAAGGATTGTTAAGTAGTATATGGATGCAAATATGTATATCAGCGTCAAGAAAATCTGATGGCGGAGGCATAAATTTAAGGAACGATGAGAAACAAACTGGAAAAAGTGACAGGCAGACAAAGAAGTACAGTATGGAAGACAAAGCAGCACAATACCACAGAGCTATATATACAAATAGTGATTGTATAATATGGTAGACCTATTTTGCCTATATTTGTGTATCGAGTTGCAATAAATAATTCCGAGCATAGGATGACGAAGTCTTTAATTTGTGAACACCTGGAGTCAGGTCATTTAGTTCCAAGTGATCTATCTTTTAAAGTTATCTACAGGACCAAATCCAACTACTCCAAAAGCTCACGTTCCCTCCACCTATGCATAGCTGAAGCTCTAGTTATTCATGAACAGAAACCTAAATATATTCAAAAATATTTTGTTAAACCCACTACTTTACCTTAGTCATGGTAATGTTCTTGTATTTTATTGTATTTTACTGCTTGAATTCATTCCACTTCACTTCATCTTCGCCTTATTTGTTGTTATCATTGCACTCCTAATTTTTTAGACAACACTTGACCCACTCTTTTTAAAGTCTTAATGCCAATTCACTTATTTAATAATCTTTAAAAGTTTTTAGGGATTATTTCATCGCTGAACAAAACTGTGTTTTTCCTTGTGAATAATTCCGTTACCAATTCTCTTGGCTTACTGTTGTCCTACAACATGCTTTAAATCTCAATGTTGAAGGGGAAATTCAAGAGTCGGAAATTATGCACAGTATTACATGTATATTGTTGCCTCTTCGTTACAAATCTTAACATGATCACAAGTAACATACTGACAAAAATCACTTAAGACTATGAGAAGGGAAGTAATCTCATTAAAACAATATAATTTAACACAAGACAATGACTTATATTATATGAACTGAACTTAATTTTCGACATAGAATTTTGTACATACCAGGTGCAGAGCAGTTTAAGTTGCCACACATCAAAACAGAATACGTACACACATAAGAGTCCTTATGCTGAGGAGGGAAGTGAGTTAAATCTTCTAGGAAAAATCCTAATGGGAAATGGATTTTCATCACTTTTTGTAGACAGTTGAAATCTATGAAATGTGACTTAATATTTGTAACCTGCTCCAAATGAACCCTGAATTCAGAGGTGACTTAGCTGCCGACATCCTTGAAAAGGATATTCACTACAGAAGCGGTGAGAATAGACTTTTGGAGTCGACAATCACTATTCAATGTCGTTAAGGACAAGAGCCCTCAGCTGACTAACTATACGTTAGTCATTCGACTCATGTTTTATACAAGAAGCTGCAAGAACACAATTCTGCGTGGTTATGAAAAGATGGAAGTGGGGCTATAACAAGAGCAATAATTGAACATCTGATTGACACTGATCCTCTTATTTCTAGTCTCTTCTTTTAAGCTTATTTACGGAGCGAAAAAGAGCCTACCTAAATCATCACATATCCTGCTCATTTGTATTGCTGAAGCTTCAAGTATAGAAACGGAAAAGCCAGCCAGAAAAAGTTTGCTTAACTCCTCGAACTCTCATGATCTTAATCCGTTTATGCTAAACTATCATAATCCCTATTGCTACTTTGGCTCTACTTATTTTCCGTTTTGTTTATACAATTTGTATATTCTTCCTTGATGAAGTTGACAGTTGTTATTAAATTTCGGTTTGAACGATTTTCGGTATTACTTCACTTTCCACCATTAATTATTTAATCCAATATAATATTCTGTAATGCTGTTTTATAATAATGTGATGTTTTAACTGATCACTGATCCTATTATTTCTATACCCCTTTGAGATTGATATGTTTCCGTAAGCTATTTTATAAAGTATACAACTACTTATTTTTGTTGAAATTCACATCATTGATAAAAAATGTACTTCTAGAGGGAGACGATAAGCGACTTGGTAATGGACTTCTATTAGGGGGAAACATATAATTATACATTCCTAACCACATTAGAGTTCGGCTAGGTCGAAGGAAAATAAATTGGTCTGACTGGTTGGCAATTGGTTCAAGGTTAATGAAGTTGTCCAGTGAGGTCATTCCGTGTCCACACTTCTACCTCTGCAGCCGTTGACTTGATTTCAGTTTTGGCAGCTCCCTATCAATCTCCTCGCTGAATCATCACTTGTTTTGCTTTTCTCATATATCATCATATCAGATCAAATATCTCTACTGATAATTCAATACCAGTGAAAGGCTTCAGTCTTTGCCTATGATGACCATTTAACTTTCGATCTATTTTCTTTTTTTTGAACGTTAAGCTTTTCGCAATTTGTAAAAGAATCCCATTTACCTTTTTTGGGAAAGGAAAACTAGCGAGTTTAAAGCAGACGAGCAACTTAATGAATATTAAACAGGTCCATTACCAGAAAAAAATTCTCAGGATAACTCCATGTTTCTCAAAGCAGTATTGGTATTCATCAAAATGACCACCTTTGGAGTCACGATAGAGAGGTACATCGAGTTTTGGGAAGTAATGAGTTAAGCTTCACCTTGAAAAGCTTTTCTGCATGTAATCTTCACCTTAACTCCACTGCTGAAAAGTATTTGTTATTAGTCAGTCATAAACTGCATTTATCCGTTACCAGTGTATTATTCCTTTCGGAAAGTGTGCTTGATCAATTCATGCTCATTGAGTCGACGACCATTTGCTACTATCGAAATTCTAACTTCGTCAAAATATTTAAGACTAAACTTCACTTTGATCGCTTACCAGTGAATGCTGCTGCCACAAGTATACACATCATTGGTTTAGTCATTAGAATTTCAACTGATCGACCTGATGTAGTAACAGATACGAAAAAAGGAAAACAGACACTCAACAGACAAGATGAAAAGATGAATAAATAACGCTTTACAGACACAAATTGTATATCTTTTATATTAAATTACTAACTGCCAAATCGAATCATCAATTACAAGGTTACGAAAAGTCTGTCGTTTTCAATGGTTCTCTGATTAAGTTCATTTAGTCACAGCCTGAAAATTCATCATGAGCTGAAATCAGTTAGAAAACCATTGGATACTGAGGTCAGCTCATGATGAAATCCTCCAACCAATCAAACCAAATCCCTACAAAAAAACCAATATTATGGCTTAAGCTTCTTTTTTGAACTGTAATTTCATTGATATTAAAAAATCGATAATATTTAAAAACACCAGTATTGTTAATGACAATTATTCTAGAAAATTCTGCTTAGGTATATATAAATATAATTGTAGAGCCGGAAGAGGATATTATGGAAAAAAAATATTTTTTGTTCAAATTTTCTTTTGTCTTTAATTACGCATTGTTAATTGTGGTTAATTAGGTAGCAGTTGTCGGCCGGACTCATTTGTGATCGTCAGTTAAATTTTACTGCCTTTCCACTATACCTTAAGTAATTTGACGAATAATTTCTACTGATGTGAAATAATACTTTTATATTATTTCCAATTGCACGTAAATTATCTTCAAATAATGAGTTACTGTATCCTAACTACAACACCAGTGGTTACTGAAATCGGAGCATTTCACCAACTCCGAAAATCGTAGGTATCGTTAACGGCAGGACTAATATAGAAAAGTTTGCAAAGTTGAATCATTACCAGCCTTCCAAGTAGAAAAAACTACCTTGGACAACTGAGTTCTGACAGCATTATTACGAAGGGGAAAGCCTTAATCAGTGTAATCTGTTTATTTATTTATAGCCCCATAGTGAACCAACCACAAGTAATACCTAAAAACTACATTTCATATTTAAATAATTCATAAGTAATTTAAAGAAATAACAGAGGTAATCAAAAAAAACTTACGTAAAGATTGTGCAGTAGACTGAAATACCGTTAAGCGATTTTGTGTTCTACAAAAGAAAAAGAATATATCTTAAATGACTTTTCTTCTGCATCTTTCGCAGATGTTAAAGGAACTTGCTTGTTTGATAATGACTAAACAGTTGAAACCAGGCCTCACCGTTCACCCCATTGGGAAATCGTCAGTTGGATGCAGCAGCGGAACATGTACATTCAGCAGTTGAAGCGATGGGTGCAGGGTAGTAGCACTATCACTAACTGAAGAGGACGCACTGACGAGTCTAAGACATGAAAAATTTCCATTTCATGTTATTAAGGACGAGCGAGTCAGAAAAGAGGTCTCTTTCCATAACTTCACTTGAAAGCTGTATAGCCATTTAGGGGGTTTATATATGCAATGCAGATTGACAACACAGGTCAAAGATTATTGTAAGCTAGTAAAAAAAGTAAATCAAAGTAAATGACTAATAACTATGTTTGAAAAAATAAGAATAGTCTTACGTAATCAGAAGGACTGCCAACTAACTGGTTGGGTGGATAGTCGCTTGGAAACAGTTGACAAGGGACAAGAGTAAAAAAATTGCAAATGAATTGCAAAAACATAAAATGGACTACATACACCTTATTTGTTATACAGCTATTCAAGAAAACAAATAACAAAAACAAGAAAAAATTAGTACCAAAGTCATGGCAGTAAATGGGCTGGATAAAGCATTTCTGAACACTAAGTTCGGATTTCTCCTTAAGGATTGCTAATGCTTCGGTTACATGAAGATGGGGGTGAAATCCTTTCGAACGACTTCATAGTACTTTATATATGACTTTGAAAGCACAAATAAAGTATAATTATATTCCAGTGGTTTGCACACAATGATAGGTTTTTGTTTTTTGGTAATATTTCGAACAAAATTACTACCTGTAATCACACCAACTGTTGGAATTATTTTGTTTAACCCAACTAAAAACTAAACAGTTCCAACAGTTGGTGTGATTACAGGTAGTAATTTTGTTCGAAATATTACCAAAAAACAAAAACCTATCATTGTGTGCAAACCACTGAAATATAATTATACTTTATTTGATTTTCTCCATAATGCTCAAACTTTTTACTGACATTAACTTCGAAAGAAGTCTCTGTTGATGTTGCATGACCAGAAGCAGTAATATGCCGTCGACTGTTCTACGTTGGCAGTTTGACGACTATGCTGGTAGGTGTTCATGGGCACATCTACACAATGTTCAGTAAAGAAAATTCTTCAAATTGCTTTCGACAGGCAGCTTCGGAGGACCTACCCAATTGTGTCTACCTTGAATTTCAGATTTATAATTAGTTGTTTCTTCAACGCGTCCACACTTCGAGGAGTATCGTTCTTTCTCTTTAAATGTTCATTGATGAATGAGGTTGGATATTCATTTTTGGTCAATTTTTCTGAAGGATTCCAATTCCTAATTCATTTACGGTAGATTCTCGTCGCAAGAGAGGCGATGAGATTTCTTTTTCTGCTCATTGGGACAAAACAGTGGTAGATTATCAGCTGTCCATTCTAATTTGGCTTGTAGTAGATTGACCTTTACAGGCTTCCATCTGACCGTCTTGTAAACTGGACATCTAGGAAGGATAATTCATCTTTTGATTCCGCTTCAATTTTGAATTCAACTGACTGGTGAGCGTTGTTGAAGATTTGCAAGATTTTGTCTAGGTAAGTATTTTCATCAGTGATGATAAAGACATTATTTATATACCTCTTGTAAACGTCAAACTGCTTGATTGTTGGTAGGAGGCCATTTGACTCAAGGTACGCCATGAAGCAATCTGAGAGCAATGAGCCAAGTGGATAACCCATTGCTACTCCATCTTTCTGTTGGTAAATTTGATCATTGAATGAAAACCGAACATTGAGTGTACATCCCAGGATCATTTCTTTGATATGTTTAGTTGGTATACCAACATTCAGATTTAATATGTGTAAAATTCGGGTACTGTGGTAGTATGTAGTTCCATATTTATTTGTTTATTAGATATATCCGACAGTGAAACAGTTTTGTTTGCTGGATGACGTTCCGAACAAAATCTGTTGTTCATAATCAAAGCATTTATAGCCCGACAACTTCGAAACTTTCGTTTTATACTTTTCTTTGTCCTCTCCTATTTGTCATCGTAGGGGGGTGGTAGAATTTTACAGATATCTGGGACAGATGGTGAATCATTCCTATTACACGGGTTTGCAGTTGATTCGATAAACAAAGCTTCTGTTATCAATCTCTCCCTCCACCCTGTGACATTAGATTTTAAAACTGTCATCTTATCCCATCCTATTGTATGGTTGTGTGTAATTGCATGTAGTGCTATAGCCGAACTATTCTCTAGATTTCTTATCTTATTCGGGTCAACTAATCTAGGTTTTTATGCTCTGCTAGTCCAACTGATTCCGTTCTATTACTTTGTCCTAAGTATTTGACTTGATAACCATTGCAGGGTGTTAGATAAACAAAATTGTTCTCTTTAGTTTGTTTTGTTTTAGTTTAGTCAAGTATTTAGATCAATGAGCCAAACACACACCTATAAGTACTTCAACCTACTTTAACGCCATAAACTCGCTAGTGAGATAATCGTTAAAAAACGACAGGACAGACAATTTTATAAATTCATTTGTTATCAAAGCAATACACTGAAATTATTTTAAAATTCAGTCGAATATCGTGACCAAACACAGTAGTAATAACTCAAAACAATATTTTGCCATCTGACACCAGTTTCCATATTAACGAGCGAATAATAATGAAAATAACAGTCATTAGACTTGTATCTTGCTATCACAGCAAGTGCATTACAACAACCCACTGATAGCGCATAACATTAGACCGGAACAGATGAGTTAAAGGTTCGAGTCCCACTCCATATTCGCCCTTGACAGTTACGTCTTCCCGACCGATAGCTGCTACCCTGACGTGGTGGTCGAGCTTGCATATCGTAATGACCCAACAAACTACACCGGCTAAAACTATTGTTCCTGCAGGTCCTACCATGCCAGGAAGGTTGTTAGGATAGCGATTAGACAAAAAGCAGTTACCGGCACAGTGTAAGAATTTTTTACACTATGCTGGGGATCTGTGGGCGATGTCGTATGCTGAGGGACAGGGATGTAACAGCAGTGAGGTGTTTCCCTCAGATGACCAGCATGCCGTCTCTCCACTCTGGAGAGGAAGGGTTAGAAAAGGCCGACCCCAACAATTGTACATCCTGACTTACCCTACGGTGGTCCGTAACCGGTGGTAAGTTTACTAATACAGAACCAATCCAAGAAACCAGTCCAGACAAGCCGTGTGTGACCGGCCTCAAGCAGCTGCCCTCTGGGCTCTGCGGTCACGCAACACTAACCGTCTTTCTGCTTCAGGTACCCGAAGAATCAAACAACTTCCACAGTGTGGGCAGCCGGGAAGTAACAACCGCCCACACACTTCCAAAAGCACACGAAGCCTTCCTGAGCATCATTCTCTTTTACCCATATCACCATCATCTTACTTTCTGTTATGTTTCCGCCGCTAATAAATGTTATGTACTCGTCGTCAATAAGTTATGGGGTCGTTGCCGATATTAGGGTGTGACCGAGTGTAAATATACGCTAATGAAATATAACGGACGATAACGTACAGACTGGTACTGCTGAGTAGTTAACTTGTCCTGACACGAAGAAGGGAATCAGAAGACCAGCACGTTCGCGATGATACGTGTATTTTCCAAAAGGGAAATAAATGTCACACAAAGTGTGAGTGAAAGTACCAAACAGTACGAAAGGTGTGAAAAAGAGTGTACAATGCAAGAGTATATATGAAAATGACTAATATACATGAACCAATAAGATAGACAGTAGTTTTCTTACCATCATTGGATTCTGATTGGTTGTAATGTCATGTGACAAAAATGCCACATATTGTTTATTTAATTAATCAACAGACAAAGCATATTGTGAGTTATAATGGAATATCGATCAATATACACATAGCAAAATATATCAGACTGTCAAAAACAAAGGCAGACATCATGTAACTACATATCACTTTCCTACTACAGTCGGTACTATTCTTTAGGCTAGTGAGTCATCTTCACTTCACGATGAGAGCCATAGAAACACCCTCAACAGCCTTTTAAAGCCACGTCGCCAACTTCATATAGGAGCATTCAACGTCAGGACCCTCTGCCAAATCGGACAACAGGCATCACTAGAAAGAACTCTGGCGTCTCGAGCTATAGATGTATGTTGTGTTTCGGAGACACGCATACAAGACCAGAGTGTGGTCATTCACTTAACCTCACCCGGCCAACAAGGTGAATCTGCAAAATTCACTTTAAAGGTGTCACGAGACTCCTCAGCTAGTTCACGAGGACTCGCAGGTGTAGGGATAGCATTTAGTGTTAAGGTAGAAAAACCTTTTCCTGACTGGATCCCAGTAGATAGTCGTATTTGTGCGGTCCGTCTGAACGGGTCCGTTAAGAGAAGGACTCTTGGCGGCGAAGCAGTTATGCCCCCAACTAGAGATCAAGACACTGAGTCCCTATTTAAGGGATATATAGTTAAACGTGTATCAGAGATCGACAGCAAGACTCCTGAGGAACCCTGCCACAACATACAGTTAACTGTAGACAGAGCTGCAAAAGCTGTTAATAGCCTGAAACCTAAAGTTAGTAAGAGTCAATGGATATCTACCGCCTCATCCGAACTGATTGACGCAAGAAGACTGATTCTGGCGAGCTCCGATTATAATGAGGAGTGAAAATGACTCAAACACAAACTCACAAAAAGCCTCCGTAACGACCGTGGACAGTGGTGGGTGACAAAAGCGAAAGAGATGGAAAAGGCCTCGGCGATTGGTAACACCAGACAACTACTTAGGCTTATCAGGGAAACAGGGGGAAAAAGGCAAACGATAAGTGAAACAATCTCTGAGGAAAATGGCACCATAATTAGCTCCCAGGATAGACTACTAGGACGTTGGAAGGAGCACTCTGAGGAGCAATTCAATTGTCCTACAGCCACGCCCAACCTGCAGA